CCCCAAAACCCCAAAACCCCGCCTCTCAGTTACAATAGTATAATTATAGAACTTAGAATTTGAAATTAATTAATTATTAATGGAACCGACAGCAGCTAGAGGCAGAAAATCAAAAAAATAGTTGCCTCCTAAAAAGAAATACTAAGAAGACTTAGAAATTGAAGATGATGAGGATAGCTATATGAACATGAAAATGATGAAGAAAATGGAGAAGTTATATGGCTAAGTATATAATGATTTACTTACATTTGAAGAAGCAGAACAACTAAAATAAGTATTTGAGGAGTAAGAGGAGACTAATGAGCACGATGGGAACTAGAATATAGATATTAATTAAGAAGAGCTGCAGTAGGTCTTGGATCTGGAGTAGTTTGAAAAGATAATGAGAAATCAAGAGGATGTTGAAGAATTTATAGAATAAGCTTAGATGCTTATGGAGTAGATCCAGGAAGCAGAGGAGAAAATAATTAGATTCCACCTAGGACTGTAAGTCAATATATCAATAGTTCATCTAGCTAATCTTTAATCTATATTTCACCATAATTATTGATTATCAAAATAGAGCAAAGCAGATAAAGTGCTAGTTCTGTGAGCACAAAGGCAGTTCAATAATTGAAGAGAGAAATACTTATACAGCTTATTTGCTCTCCATAATAGTTTTAATATTGCTGGGTTGGTTCGGTATTTTATTCGTGCCATTTTGCCTTGGACTTTTGAGACAATAAATTCATAGATGTGCGAAGTGCTTGAACGCAGTCAAAGAAAAATCCCTCTTCAGCAGTCTTGAAGATAATGTAAGCTATCCCTTCAATTCATGTGATTCTAATAGATTTTATCACTATCGATTGGTAAATTTGGAATAATCATCAAGAGGAGAACACTTGTCAAATCCTTTGTATTCTTGCTATTGTCATCATTCATTTTCTACATTTTCAAGCATTACTATATTGACCCGCTAAATGACTATGACCACTTTTAATTCGATGAGAATATAACTTGGAGTAGCTATTTAACTGATTGTGGTAGACATGTCTAATTAGAGTAGGCAAGATAGCACTTCTACAAGAGATATAAACTCAAGCATATCCAATGGCAAGGTTACGTTATGAGAGTTGATGCTAATGAAGAAAGTCAGGTACACTTTGCTAAGATTTTAGTACAGATGGATAGAAGAGATTACCATCCCTCAGAACAAGATTTTGCTGAAAGGGAACCTGACTTAGTAATTACTCTTACAGAAGCAGGATTTGAAAGAAACTAAAAAGAAATTGAAGAGTTAAGACGAGGTGATATAATAAGATTTAATGCAACTATTTCTCATTTTGCAGTATAGAAAGCCTAAGGTGATCTCTCTAAATACAATAATGAAGATGAATAACAAGTTCATCATCTTCATGGAATAGGAATCGAAAAAATAGGTCATAAAGAAAATGATGATATAAAACCTCACTATCATTGGGATGGCAGATTCTAATTTAATCAAGATCTATAAAATAAAGATTTCAATGTAGATGGGACAGCTGATGTGAGACCTTATTCTCAAGACTCTCACTCAGGGCATCATCATCATTGATAGTAATAAAATAAGATCATTGAAAATTATTTGCTAATTAATTAAATTTTCTGCTCTAGAGTATCTCTGGGGTTTTGGGGTTTTGGGGTTTTGGGG